AGCAGATGTAGGAGGAGCATAATACCACGTGACACAACGTGGTTGCACATGAGATTATGGCTGTTGCTCGGGCTGTTGAACCTGCTTTTGAGAAAGTTTTTAATGATTTACCACATTCTAGAATTATAGAGTTACTGAATGCTCAAGGAAATTCCAGTGACTACTCTGTGTGTAATCTACCACCATCAAAACCCAAAGCTGGGGATGTTTATGTTTTTGTCCCTTCAGACATCAGTGAATGTGGCCCGTATAGCAATTTTTTATGCCAATAGTGTGTATTATTCAAATTAATATTATTTTTACTTTATAAAGAGTTAAAAATTGCAACAAATAAAGATTGAATGGAATAGAAGAACAAGAGGACTGATCCACGGGAAGTTATGGTGTATATTCTGAATTCTTGGGAGTTGATCCGCATTCTAGGCACACGCCCGTGCACGTTCCGCGCGTTGACGTGCTTGGTTCAGCGTGCGGAACGATCCGCAGCAATCATAGATACTACATACACACATGGATAAGAAACAGGAAGTGATATTGATGTGCCATGCTCTTGACGCCGGATATGACTCATAGAGCATAATAATGAATAATCTACACACGTGAATAAGCATGGCCATTAGCAATGAGGACTGATAGTAAGGAGTTTCACTTGATTTATAGCCAAGCTCTCAGTTGGATGAGCTCCAGATGAATACTTCTACCACCAAAGAGGTCAAATCACACATTTATTTTGTGATGAAGTCAAAAGGGGATGAAACAAAAGCTCTAGAGACTATTGTTTATTACATCAAACATAAGATATTATTTTATATGCCTATAATAATAATTTTAGTCATAATTTAGGTTCAACAGATGCTTTTTGCCATCTATATTTACGAAGTTTCATCAACACCTTCACTCTTTCAGAACACAGTTCATCGTTATCATTCTTGGCTGTATAGTACCCTATAATCATGACAATCAAAAATAAATGTCATTATAATAGTTAAATACTGACTTTCCCTGATGTCGCTAAACATAACAAAGCAGTAATAGTACTCTTGTCTGTCATCTTATAGTGTCTGTGTTG